AAAAAAAAAACAAAAAGGCAAAAGATGATGAAAAACCAGAAAAAAATCATTTTTCTTGTACATAAAACAACCACTAAACGCAGCCTGTTATGACCGCTCGGCGTCTTGCCTGATCTTGGTGTCCTCTGTGTTTTGTGGGGGAGTCAACAGGGTGGCGGGGGGCCTGGGACGCCGACTCTGGCTCCAGCCAGACTCTTCTTGCCCAGCTTGGGCAGTTGGTCCCTCAGGGGCAGGATGGGTGGTGGGTGCCCAGGCAGGACCTGGGCCAGGACAGGTGACACCAGGGCCCAAGGGACAGCGGCAAGCGTGTGGGCAGGTGAGGAGAACTGGCTGGGGGTCAGGGTGGAATCTGCACAGCCCTGACCTTGGCCATCTGCAGCGCCCGGGCTTTGGGAGGGTCTGGCTTGGGTGGTCTTGGTACCCACTCGAGGCCCAGGAAGTGCCACCCCATGCCGGGCCCCAGCCAAGTTCCCACCTCCCGTGAGAAGATGGGTCTGCGCCCCACAAGCTGGGGAGGAAGTCCTGGGCTGCTGTCCGCACCCTCTGGGCTGGGGGTCACCAAACAGCAGGACCCCAGGGAGAACCCCTCCTCCTGCTTCCTGCCCTCCCACCGTCAGGATGGGGCAGGATGGCTGGTGGGATCTGCCCAGGCCAACCCAGCTGGTCAGACCCTGGCTCCCTGTCAGTGGGAGTCGGCCAGGCCCAGCTCTGGCCTGGACAGGCCAGCAGGCTGCTCATGTTGACCCTGTGGCCGCCCTCCCGGCACTCGCCCATCTGYAGTCGGCTGCTGAGCCAGGCTGGTCCATGCTGAACCTGCTGCACACAGGCCCAGGCCCCACCACGGGACACGGACAGGAGGGAGCGCTGGGCTTCSGCCTGTGACTTTCAAGGCCTGCTCCACGCGGCAGCCTGCGGCTCACCCTGAGGCCTGTGGTCTCTGGTACAAGTTGTGTGGCCATGGCTCTCCAGTTCAGAATGTCCCGCCACCCTAAGAGGAAGCCTGTCCCCATGAGCAYCCCCCATCCCTCCCCAGTCCAGCACCTGTGGGTCCACGTCCATCTTGGACTCTGTCCTGTCATTGGGTCACACATGGTGGCCTGTGCATCTGGCCCCAACTGAGCAGAGTCCTCAGGTCCATCCACACTGCAGCCGTCAGCTTGCTCCTGCTCTGGCCGAGGACACTCCTGTGTGTACACATGGGCTGCCTGGGCATCCACCTGTGGAACTCACTTCCACGTTCGCCGGCTGTGAACACACGTGTGCACGTCCATGGGATGTGCTCAGACCTTTGGCCTGTCCTCTTCAGGGCCCCTGCCCCCCTCCCATGGTGGCTGCTGTGGGCGYGGTCCTCACCCTGGCCAGCACTGGCTGCTGCCCGTGTCCCAGCTCTGCCCTGGTGACCACGGCACCTGGCGGGCCCGCTGCCTTCTCCACCCCGGGAAGCCTGGGCAGGCACCCCTCACCCAGCCTCCTGGCCCAGGGGACAAGCATCTGGGTGTCCCCAGGCCCCCAACACAGACAGAAAGGGCAGACAGCACAGACCTCGGTGGCTTCACCTTGACCGTTTTATTTGCATTTTTAAAAAACAATTAAATTAGAATACAAATATTAGAAAACAGCGGCCTTGCTGTGGCAGCGCGGGCGGCCGGCCGGCGGGAGTTCATACAGCAGTCCTGACGCCCAGCCGCGGTCCCACCCTGCCTCCTGACCAGGGCAGCGGGAAGGGCCCGCAGCACAGGGGGAGCCCTCTGCCGCGGCCTCGGGGCTGCGTGGGGGCGCCGGCTCCGGGGTGGGCGAGCGAGCCCCGGGCCTGTGGGAGCCCAGGAGCCTGGCGGGAGGGGAACCAACCCAAATCAAGAGACCTGCCGCCCTCGGACGCCACGGCCTCCCTGCCCGGGGCGCTGCGGGGCTGGCGGTGGACATCTGTGCTGTTCCGTAGGGAAGTGAACCTGAATTGGAGTTACCGAGGTAGCTGGCTAGAAACTGACCCCCCCACGCCACACGGTGCCGCACCGGGGCCGCCTCCCGGGTCACCGCCGCCGCCGGGGCTTCAAGATACCAAGTTATTGCACTTTCAAAACAACCCACCTGCGGCGACCCGCCCGCCCCACCCATGGCTTCGGAGCCCAGCACTGTGGGCGCGGCGAGGGTCTCCAGGGAGGACGCATCGCGGAGAGCAAAGCAAGGGGACAGASGCATGTCGCTCAGTTGCGGTGGTCGCCAGGCCGCCACCCCCACGGCCAGGCCCCAGCTGGAATGGTCGCGGCCAGGCTCCTGGGTCCCTCCCATGCAGCCCCTGCCCTCCCGGGGCCTGGTGGCCGCAGCGGACTATGCAGGGCGGCCTTGTTGGAAGAGTTTGTCTTTTTGTCGGTTTCGTTTTTCTTTTTCTCATTTTTTGAGTTTTTTTTTTTTTTTTTTTTTTTTTTTGTCATTTTACTTTTTTTTAATCCCCGAGAGGAGAGTCCAGAGGTGCAGGTGCCAGGAGCCAGGGAGGGTGGAGAGGACAAACGGACAATGAAAAGAGAAGGAATCGCTGCTCCTCTGCGCCCGGCCGCCCGCCCTCCGCGTGGTCAGCACCAGGGAAATTTCAGGTCACGTGGCCGGCGGTCAGCAGGCCGGAACCAGGCCCTTCTGGAAGGGGCAGCGGCGCTTGGGCCGGGGTCCCTCCTCATCCTCGTCCTCGTCCTCCTCTTCGTCGTCCTCTTCCGAGGATGACGAGCTGTCCAGTGTGAGGTCCACCACGTCGGTCCCGGGCTTGCCGTTCTCCACGCTGCCCACGGAGGCTGCCCCGCTGCTCACGCTGCCCAGGGTGCCACCGCTRCCGCCGTTGACACTGGGGGTGGGCAGGAGCCCGCTGGCATCTGAGGTTCCTGTGGGCAACGGGGACGTGGGCACTCAGGGGGCTGCGACAGGCACAGCAGGGGACCATGGCCATCACGCCCAGGGCCAGCCGCACCCACAGCCATGCAGGACAGGCGCAGGGCGCGGGACTCACCGAGCACCAGGATGGGGCCCTGGGGGCTGCAGCTCCGCTCCTTCTCGGTGCGGATCGGGCACCAGGAGCCGTCCACCAGGTACTCGATCTCATCGGCGTCCTCACACTCGCTCAGGATCTTGGAGAGGAGCCTAGGCGAGGGGGGGTGCTGATGCGGGCTAGGCCTCACCCCGGCCTCCTGCCCTCCACGGGCTCGCCGACTCCCCACCCATCTCTGCAGAGCTGGTTAAGACTGTACCCACYGGACCCAAGGGCTCGAGGGTGGAGGACTGGAGGGCCTTCTGCACAGGCCCTGGACGTGTGGCCCCAGGAGGCCGGCAGGCAGCTGGCCTGGCAGCCAAGGGTGCAGACAGGAGGCCGTCCCCAGTCACCCTGGAGGGTGGCCAGGGGGCCTGCGGCCTYATATCAGAGCACTACTCTGGGGCTGGGCACCACCAGGCGGTCGCCACTGGCCCGTCAACCCCCACCTCTACTGCACGACGCCCCATTTCACAGACAGGGAAACGGCCGAGAGGTGACCGCACGAGGAAGAGCAGAGCGGAGGCCAGCGTCGGAACCCCGAGCCTCTTGTGGCCTGCTCTCCAGGCAGACAGGACACTGAGGCTCGGGAGGGTGCACATGGCTCCAGGCCCTTAGAAGCTCGGGGGACAACGGGGCCACCTCGCTCCCACACTGCAGTTCCTGTGGGGCGTGCACTGCACACGGGGTCCCTCTGCATGGGAACTTCCCGCCGTCCACAGAAGGGAAACAGAGGCCGTGGCAAGGACAAGAGCCTGAGGTCACAAGACTGGGCAGCTGGCTCTGGTTCCAGTTCTGCCCCCAGCACCTACTGGCCACGAGGCAGGTCTC